GACAATGGTTTTCTTAAACCTACCCATTCACCCCACAATACTCCCATTCTCCCGGTACTCAAGCCTGATGGGTGTTATCGCCTGGTACAGGACCTTAGGGTAATTAACAGTGCTGTTACCCCCACTCACCCAGTGGTGCCAAATCCTTATACCATGCTCTCTCATATCCCTCCCTCCACCACTCACTTTACGGTTATAGATCTTAAAGATGCCTTCTTCACTATCCCCCTACACCCTGATTGCCAGAACCTCTTTGCGTTTACATGGACTGACCCAGACACTCTCAGGTCCCAACAACTTACTTGGACAGTACTCCCCCAGGGGTTCAGGGATAGTCCCACTTCTTTAGCCAGGCTCTCGCTACTGATCTCACAGAACTTAATCTCAAACCTAGTGTTCTCCTTCAATATATAGATGACCTTCTATTATGTTCTCCATCCCATGTGTTAGCCATGCACCACTCGGCTAGTCTTCTTAATTTCCTTGCTAGTCGTGGATACAGGGTCTCTCCTGCTAAAGCTCAGATAGCCTCCCCAAAAGTCAAATACCTTGGTCTTGCTCTCACCCCCACTACTCGCTCCATCACCTCAGATCGTAAGGCAATCCTTCATGATCTCCAGGTGCCCACAACTAAACAGCAGGTTACATCTTTCCTAGGTTTAGCTAATTTCTTTCGTCTCTGGATTCCTAACTTTGCAGCCCTGGCTCAACCCCTCTACAAGGCCGCTAAGGTTCCCTTATCGGAACCCCTGGACCCTACTAGGCCCAAACATGCCTCCTTTCAAAAATTAAAAGAGGCTCTTCTAAAAGCTCCAGCTCTCACCCTTCCTGATCCCACTCAACCTTTCATCCTATACACTATCTTTCAGGGCCACAATGCTATAGGTGTACTAGGACACAAAAAAGGACCTTCTTTTCAAGCAGTAGCTTCCTTATCAAAACAGCTAGATCACACAGTAAAAGGATGGGCTCCTTGTCTCCGAGCTCTTGCAGCTGTAGCCCTCTTGACACAGGAAGCTAAAAAGTTTACATTAGGGCAATCTATTACAGTATACTCACCTCATCACCTACGTGAGCTTATCTCACATAAGGTGCTCCCTGCCCTAATGACCCCTTCTCGCCTTCAACAGGTACACTTAGCTCTCTCTCAAGACCCTTGCATCTCTATTGCAACTAGTCATCCCCTAAATATAGCCACCTTGGGGCTGGAGGTTTAGCTCAGCGGCATAAGCACCTACCTTGCAAGCAGGCGGTCATGAGTTCGATCCCCGGTACCGGTAAAAATGAAAAAGTCAAAAAACAAAACAAAGATAAATATAGCCACCTTACTTCCCACCTCAGAGGGCCATCCTCACCACGATTGTATTGAGTTTTTACAGATGACTCCCACCCCTTTCCCTCACATCAGTAGAACACCTCTCTCCTTGGCCTTTGACACATGGTTCATAGATGGCAGTTCAACAAACACAGACAACCAAAAAAAGGCAGGGTACACGATAGTTAACCAGTCAGAAGTTATAGAGGCAAATGCACTGCCACCTGGGACCTCTTCCCAGAGGGCAGAACTTATTGCCCTTAGAAGGGCTCTTACACTAGCAAAAGACAAGATTATAAATATTTACACTGACTCAAAGTATACATTTAGCATTTTACACTCTCACGCCTCTATCTGGCAAGAACGGGGTTTTATTACCACTCAGGGAATTCCCATCATTAATGCTCCCCTTATCCTTAAACTTCTAGAGGCAGCCCAACTTCCAAAGCAGGCAGCAGTTATTCATTGTAGGAGACACCAAAACTCTACAGATCCTATTGCTCAAGGCAATGCCTTTGCAGATTCACAAGCCAAGCTAGCTGCACAAGGGCCCTGCCCTTCTCATCTTCTCCCGTTAGTCCCAAACAGTCTACCTCAGCCTAGTTACTCACCAGAGCAGTTACAGCTACTTCATAAACCAGGTTACACACAAAACACTCAGGGATGGATTTTTCAGGGATCTAAACTTGTTCTCCCACATCAACAGGCCTTAGACATCATTGCTGACCTGCACAACTGTTTTCATATAGGATCACAGGCCCTATACAAACTCTTAGCCCCAATAGTCACACACCCTTCTTTAAAAGCTATCATTTTTAAGACTACTCACATCTGTGATCTCTATGCCAGGACCTCTCCTCCGGGACGCATGGCACCCCCTTCCTTTCCTACCCATCAGTTTCGAGGACACACCCCTGGTCAGGACTGGCAGATAGATATTATACACATGCCCCGCCACAAGACTCTCAAATATCTTCTCACTTTTATTTGTACTTTTTCAGGATGGATAGAAGCCTTTCCCACAACCAGGGAAACTGCTGATGTAGTTACCAAAGTCATATTACAAGAAATCATTCCAAGGTTTCGTCTACCTCAGAGTATTCAGTCAGATAATGGTCCCGCCTTTATTTCTCAGATTACTCAACAGGTATCCTCAAGCTTACACATCACCTGGCACCTACACATCCCATACCATCCACAATCCTCAGGAAAAGTAGAAAAGGCAAATGGCCTCATAAAGACACACCTTACAAAACTCACTTTAGAACTACACCAACCTTGGCCTCAACTTTTGCCCTTAGCCTTAGCCAAGCTCAGGGCACTCCCCCGGGCTCCTACCTTCTTAAGTCCTTTTGAACTTATGTATGGCAGGCCATTCTTACTCCACAATCTTCCTACTCCCCAAAATCTCCCTCCCCTTACTGACTATGTCCCAGTTCTCTCCTTCCTCCGACACCTGTTGCAAAAACATGCTGATCTCTGCCTTCCACAGCCCTCTGGAGAGGCCAAACCAGATCCTCCCATATCCCCAGGAGATCTAATTTATCTCAAATGTTCTAAATCCACAGGACTACAACCAAGGTGGAGTGGCCCCCATCTGGTCTACTTGGCTACCCCTACAGCAGTCAAAGTTGCTGGACTCCCATCCTGGTTTCACATCACTCAGGCTAAGAGGTGCCCTCCCAGCCCTAAATCTGATCATTCTGAGTGGTCATCTCATTTTCTGTCGTCTACCCGTCTCCGTCTCACAAAGGCCTCGCAGCCACAGTTAACAGGCTAAGTCATGTTTTGTTATCCACTTTGGTTCCTAATGTCTTACATTCTATTAATGATCATTTTTACAGCAGGACTCTTGACAGTCTTTCCTAAAGACTCCCACATCATGCGTAAGATAATCTTCATAATGTTCTATATGATAACAGTTGCAGTTCTTTCTACCCTCAGCTGTCCGGTTAAACGTGACATCCCTGAAAGCCTAAGCCCTTACCTTCCCTATACGGGTACAGCCACCGCCTTCCCTGCTCCCCCTATTCTTTCCAGTTCAACTCCTGGACCGGAGACAAGTTTTATACACCTATCCTCTTAACTTTTATGCTTTCAGATGGGGGAGTAAGCACGTCTCATAACTCCACTCCTCCTAACCCCACGTTTAATTTTCAGAATTCTGCCTCACCGTGGAAATGTTTCTACCTCAACATGGTCCTGATAGAATGATATGTCTAAATCAAAGGCACCTTTCCTTCTACCTCACCTGGGTCCTTAAATTGACAGTGCCATGTCTCCTCGTAATGTCTTGTCTCTTTGTTTTTCCAGTCTGACATACGTGCATTCACCAGTGAAGCTGTCATGGCCAAAACACCTGGCACCAGCATCTACCTGGGCATCAACCTTCATCTCGTCGACTCCCCTAGGCTCCAGTACAGTGCCCTTTGCCAGCAGGAAGTAGTTAAAGAGAGAAATCTTTGCCCCTTTTCATAATAATAATCATAAGACGGGATACGAAAGGGTTTTGGCCCAGACAGGACACTATAGCCAGGAAAGCCACAACCGGAAGCAGGAAGCCCCATCTCCCCTGCCCCTAGGAAGTTACCTGTGACGCCATCTTCCCACCCCTGGAAATTTTACATATGGCGCCAAACCTAGGACCAATGGGCTACCTGTGTATCCCTAATGCCCGCCTTAGGTTCCACCCCAAACCGAGGCTATTTACAGGCCCCCACGCCACGTGTCCACTGGAGAGATTGCCAGATGCCAGCGGTGGGAGTGCTGGTCATCTCTCTCCGTGTTCTCAGAATAAAGGCCGCTTTTTATTTTATATTTCTCATCTTTTGTTAATATTTTTCATCTTTTGGAAATAACCCTAGCAGTAGACAGGTTCATTGGGAACAGTCATTAGAGCCAAATACTTGTAAGACATGCAGTCCACAAAGAAAGCATTCTGCAGTACAAAGGAGGGCAGTCAGGGCACATAAAATCTCTGCCCATGGATCAAACACATGTCCATGAAGCAGCAATCAGACATCCGGTCAAACTCTGCCTAGTTTTTCAGCACAGTGAACAGAGGCCCCATCACAATACAAACTCCCTTTTCCGCCCTGGGCCTCCGCAGCAGCCACAGGGAAGCCCAGGCCAGCAGGAGCTCCTCAAACCTGCTGCACACCAGGACCATTTTTGGAGGCTGGGATTCAGTTCTACCTGTTGTCCCTGTTCAAAGGATGCCTCATGTCAACCCACTGAGCTGCCTGAGCAGCCTCTGCTTGTGGAATCAGAGCCCAGCTACTACAAATATGGAGAAGCCAAGAGACTAGGCCAGAGGTGTTTAACAGGGAGGCTGAGAAAGGAAGAAATTTTAAAGTCAGGACCTGGAAAGCGGAAAGGGATTCTGAAACCCAGGCAAAGGCTTCAAGATTGCATCTCAGGCAAACTAATACAAAAGTCTGGAAAGACCCTCATGTTTTCATTTTGCAACTAAAATGCCAAGTGAGGAACAGTGCAGTGAGAGCAAGTGGCCAGCTGTACAGTGTCTGGCCTCATTCCACCAGCTTTCTAAATTTCAGTTCTCTAGCAATCTGTACTTTATGTCTAGGCAAGAAATTTGCTATGGCAGCTCAGCATAGCACAACACAGCCCCACAGTATACAGGGGTCTCGAGTCACTACACACACAGAGCCCATTGAGGACACACCTAGAAGCTCCACTATGCTCTCACTGCGGCCGCGGCCACGGGCCTCATCCTGAGCAGCAGAGAGCTGAGCCAGGCCCCCTGGGGTGGTAAGTGCCTGCAGGAGCACAGGTGGGGGTGTGCGGAAGAGTTGCTGCAAGAGCTCCAGAGCACCTGTCACTACGTTGTGGTCTTGATGCTGCGTGTGATGCAAGGTCAGTTCGTAAACCTAGAAAGAGACACAGGAAAAAAAAAGGCAAGTGTTCAGTTTCAGGTTTAGAAATGTCTCTTGGCTTTCAGTTTTTTATAGGTCTTTAATAGGTTGGCAAAGTCTGCACCCTAATTCTCCCTCTAAACATTATCACTTCTGCCAGTGTGGTCAAGGTGACCAGTGTGGTTATGATGCTTCACTGGTTTACCAAGCCTTAAGAAATGAACAGAGCCTCCTCCTCCAGCAGCAGCACACTTATCCAGGACTCCACTTCTTAAATTGGTCACTAGGAGAGGGAGCAAACCCAGCAGACACCATGGTGAAGGTGAGTGGATGCTCCCAACAATCCAAAGCAGGCTTCCAAGCATCATAACAAAGAGCTGCCTGAAGTGCTGAAGGTAACTTTAGTGCTCCTAATACTGATTCATGTTATTCACAAGATGAACTTATTATTTTCACAACAGAGCTGCTAGACTGACTCTGGGTACTCAGTTAAATTTCAATTTCAGAGAGATAATTTTGCAATATAATTATGTTCCTTATTATAAAATTACAAAAAAATTACAAAATCATTATTTATCTATAAGTCAAACTTCACAAGCATTTGTTTGTTCAGTCAATCCTACCTTTAGTATCATAAAATATACATATTTCTTTTTGAAAAGTCAATGTAGAAGAGTATGAAATAAAAGGTCAAAGACTCCCAGGAAGCTACCTTTAATCCTTGTTGTTGAGCAAGTCTGATTGCAAGCGCCATAACACCTAAATAAGAGGCTGGCAAACCGTAGTCACAGGCCACATCGGGCCAATGCTTACTTTTATGCAGTTTTCCTGGGACATGGCCTCACCTGTGGACTGTCTGCGGCTGGTTCTGTGATACAAAGCTGGAGTCAACCAAATGTGACCAAGGTGGTATGGCTTGTAAAGCTTAAAATAATCACTCTGGACACTGATGGAAAGCACTGCTTTAGGCATTCAGCTGTCACTCAATTCTGAAGCATCCATCTGTTTCAAGCGGCCTTGACAAACTCTTCTCTGAGTAAAGAGGAACCCAGTGTGCAAGTTCCCTTTCCCTCTTCTGCCCCCAATACCTGTCATCTGCTGTTGTCCAGATTTACCACATTTATGTGCTCCTGCTAACATCACTGAAATCTGATCTGCCTACAAACCAAGTTTAACACTTACTTTAACAGTATAGCCCTGCCTGGTGGCCCACACCTGTAATCCCAACACTCCAGGACACTGAAGTAGGAGGATCACAAATTTGAGTCTAGCCTTGCCAACCTAGTGACTTAGTAAGACCCTGTCTCAAAATAAAAAATTTAAAAAAGGGCTGGGGATGCAGCTGATTGTAAAGGCTCCAGTAACCAGTACACATTTTATCTTGTGTATTATTTACTGTAAAGCCTATAAATGTGATGGCTCAAAACAAAAGATTTTATTACTACTATGTATTGTTGAAATGGGATATTCCCAGGTTAATGGGCAAATAGATTGTGTTTTTATGATTTATTATTTGTTATCTATCTTCTCTGGCTTCATTATTGGATGGTAAAGTTCTGCTATACATTTGCTGGTTTTCCTGAAGCTATTCGCTCCTTTTGGCACAGCCCACTCGTGCCTTCCCTTCTCCCAGCCCCGTATCGCTACACTGCTGTGGGACGCTGCCTGCAGTACTTATCTTGAACTGCAAGCTGGACAACGACCATGGCCTGTTGCTCTGAGCACCATCCAAGGTAAGCTACTATTCCTTGGATTTCAGGAATTCCTCTTTTATTGAATTTATGTCTCATTTTGCTGGAATACATTCTTCAACAACTATTTTCAAAAAGTGTGTACGCAAAGCACTCGTACCTGCCAGGCTACCAGTGTTTCCATTCCACTCGCACCCTGCTCAGATCAGTGTGTGCCAATGGGCCATGCCCACAGCTGTCCCCTTGGCATCCATCGCTATGCATGATGGAACAGCACTCAATCAGTACTTCCTGTGTGTAGGCACCCTTCATGACCTGTCCCAGGTGAGTCTGAGGGGCGCAGGCGACTCCTTCAGCACCATGAGTATTCATCTCCCAATGAAGTGGACAGGCAGAGCCCACCAGCCAAGCAGTTAGGCTCCAGAGCCCACGCTGCTCATGCTCAGCTCTGCCTCATCTCACACAGGTCATTTTAATTGGTGGTTGAAAGAAAGAGGTGCACGTCACCCCATGCTCCTACCTGGACCAGCTGCTCTGCAGATGGAGACACTTCCATTTCTTTCTGAGTCACCCCAAAGCTGCCTTTCAGGCTTGTGTCCTTGACCTGCTGCTGCAGCAAGGGCACCAGATACCTCAGTGTGAGCAGCACTCCAAGGATCAAGAGTGTGGGATGTTCTTCTTCCACGGGAACCAGCAGACCTACAAAGGTAGCCACAGGACTTCTCAACAGCTGACCTACTGCTCAGAGACTCAAGAGACTCATGGTGAACTTTTTAAAACAAGGCACCTACGGGACTACCTACTAAATGTGACTGAAAAACAGGCTAGGGGGCCAGATCCAAGGGAGGCTCAGCACAGCATGCCCCCACAAAGAGCAACTGCACTTAAGTCAGGCAGTTCTTTCATACCAAGCATCCACCTGCTCAGCCCAGCTCTCACTAGCAGTGGCTTCTAATCACAGGAACTACAGGAGAAATTGCCAGCAGAGGACGCACAGGGATGAAGTGTCAGACTGCATACTGGCTATGCCTGCTGCTCAGTGAGATGCTAATGTTAGGCACTGCAGCATCTGCAGTATCACAGATCCCACGTGGGCTCACAACAGCCACAGTGCAACTCATACTGGCCAGCAGCCTGGAGCAATGGGCAGGCCTAAATACCAAGGGCTCAGGTGGTGTGTCCAGCTTTCTGAAGGTATGTCCCTAGGAAGTGCTGGAGAGGGACCGACATGGGCACCTGCCTTACCTAACAGCACATTGAGCAGCCAGCTGTAAAAGTACTGTGTCCTCCTGGAGTGCTGGCAGATGCTCACCGCTGAGCCAGCTGCCGTTCGCCGGACCGTAGGCGAGCTTGACTTCAGATTCGCTATGAATGCCTTCAGCAGAACCTGAAAAAGCCAAATTCTGATCAGGTAAACATCAGGCTGCTATGTGGGTTATCACACGTTTCATAAAAGTGACCTTGTGTCAGAAGCTCTGGAGCTGAGGATGCAGCTCCATGAGAGCACTCACCTAGCTTTACCATGGACTTGAGCCATAGCACACATACAAACAGGCAAGCAGAGTGGTGCCCAGCATTCACGAAGCTGAGGTAGAACTGCAAATTCCAGGCAAGTGCAGGCAAGTCCAGGAAATTTAATGAGACTGTCTCAGAATAAATATTTATTTATTTATTTTTGGTACTAGAGATTGAATTCATGACCCTGTGCCTGCCACACAGGCCCTGTGCCACTGAACTATATTCCTGGCCTCAGAATGAAATTTTAAAAAGGGCTGGACATGTAACTCAGTGGCAGAGCACTGGCCTAGCGTGCTCAAGGGCCTGGGTTCCATCTCCTGCACTGGAAAAAACAAAATAAAACAAAACAAAACTTAAGAGAGAGAGAGAGACAAAGAGAAAGAAAGAAAAAGAAAGGAAAGTGAAAAGAAGAAAAAAGGGGGAGAAAGGGAGGGATTAAGGGAGGGCGAAATAAACCATTCTTAGTCCAAATTTACACGCACAACAAAAGATAAGCAATATTACAAAGGGTTCGCCCACAGTGAATCTAAATAGTTTGGAATAATAAAATATAACCTGGGAGTTACAAGGTGGCCTTCTAAGATCTAAACCTCCTAATCCTAAGAACATTCCAACATGTTAACAGGAGATACCCAGACCAGGCTTAAAACATTTCTCAAACTAAAGGACGCTATATATTATGTAGATAGTTCCACTTTTCAAAATACACACGACATATATTCAAGAGTACTTCGGAGCAGCTGGGTGTGGTGGTGCATTCTAGCACCTATGATTCAAGCACTTGGGAGGTTGAGGCAGGAGGAGGGCCACTTGAACTATACAGTTTTAGGCCAGCATGAACTACACAGTGAGACCTTGTCTAAAAAAAAAAATTATACTCTTTCAGAAGGGAAAAGATACAAAAATCATTAAACTTATAGACTGAAAATAGAAACTGAAACCATAATGCGATGCCAGAACGCACTTTTCAGAATGGCCAGAACTCAAAGGAATGACAATTCCAAGTATCAGTAAGGATGCAGAGGCTGAAATCCACTACGCGCCCTAACAAGAGGGTCAACTAGTACAGCCCCACAGGAAGCAACCGGGCAGCGCGTGCTGAAGCTGAGACACACGTCTTCCACACCCTGGCTCTCCAGTTGTAGGGACCCACAAGCGTAGTACTGTGCTCCAACAACCACTGGTCACAAAAGGCAGAAACTAGAAATGACCCGCGTGTCCAGCTACAGTGAAATAAACTGAGGCTTATCACCCAACGGAGTACACCACAGCTAGGAAGACTGGACTGCTAAGACAGTGAGGTGGAAGAGCCCAATAAACTAATTTTGTATAAAAGAAACCACACCAAAAATAGTACCTACTATATGATTCTACACAGAGAACTGAAAACCAGGCTCTCTGCGTCCTCAGAAGACAGAATCCCTCCTACCTCTGGGGAGGCAGGTGGCAGTGGTCAGTGGGGAGCACATAGGGGTTCCAGGGGCAGGTGAGATTCTGTCCCTGGAGTTGGTTGATGGGCACAAGTGTGAATACACTTTGTGATTACTCAGCAAGATTGCACCATCATCTACATTCGGTCCTATTGGCACACTGGATATCAAAGGGGAAAACAATCAAACAAAAACCAGGTGTCGGGGTTGGGGATGTGGCTCAGTGAATAAGAGTTCCTGTCTTGCATGCACAACGCCTTGTGTTCAATCTCCAGCACTACCAAAAAAAAACTCAAACAAACAAACAAAAACCCCAGGTGTCTATGAGTATTTAGCAGGTAACGCTGTGGATAAACTGCAGCATAGGTTAGGAGACAGCTGACCCAACCCAAACTAGGAGCCCCGCAAGAATCAAACAAGAGGTCTGGGAAAGCATACATCTCTGAGGACGCCAAGAACAAGGCAGGACACCTGCAGCCCACAGGTGCCAACAGTATCAGAAGGCAGAAAGAACAAACTGGCCACTGACTGACACAGCCCAGAGGAAGAAGGTCAAACACAGCTTTGCTGCAGCTAGGAGGAGAGCATGAAGGCTGCCAGAAAAACCAAGCACATTCAAGCCTCAGCATCTGAGACAGGCCCAGCTCCTAAGGCAACAGACATGTGCGAACCTGGAGGGCAGCACGCAAAAACCACTCAGTTTCTGGATCAGACTGGATCATCCAGGATCCAGTCCCACCTCTAGGCAGCTCTCCCTCCCCATCACCTGTAAAGATGAGGAGAGACCGTTTCAAGGTGTTCACACAGCTGAGCGCAGGTGGGAGACAACATGGGCAGCAGGAAATGCCTTGGGACCAGTCCTTCTGGGAGACCTTGCCAATCTCAGATTCCAGGATAAGCACAGCATCAGTCCTGGCCTCTAAGTAGAAGAGGGAGGAATTTCCCCTAAGGCTTATGACTGCCTCAAGTGGGGAAGAGCGACAGCTACTGATGCCTAATGGTCCAGCAGTGGAAAAGCAAGCTTCCATCCCTTAGCAAAGAGAGCCCTCACGCACGACCCTGCTGCAGGCTGGCTCCAAGAACCTCCTCAGCATCTAAGTCCACAAGCACAGTCCACAAGCAGGGAAAAAGACCAGAGAACACAGAGTGGAGTGGAGAGATCAGACAGACAGGTTAGAAGAAGCTATTACACAAACTGTCTCAGTAACCGCAGGAAAGGGCAACGCACACATTAAGCAAAAGAACACACAAGAGGAACAATGTGAGCTCCTAGAAACCCAAAACAACAGCAGATTTGAAAACTGAACAGACGGTTTTCTTTTGAAAGAAAAGAAAGATAATAGTTGCACACAGTAGCTCACATTTGTAACCCCAGCTACTTGGGATACTGAGGCAGCAGAATTTCAAGTTCAGGGCTAACCTGGGCAACTTGGTGAGATTGTATCTCAAAATTAAAAAGAGCTAGGGATGAAGTTTAGTGGTAGAATTTGATCCCCAGTACTGAAGAAAGAAAATTATTATCATGTAGATCAATCCAGGAGGACCAACATCTAATTTCAAAAAGAGCACAGAAAACAAAGAACTTATCCAAAAAAATATGAGAAAATGCCCAGAATTGAAATATATGTTTCCAAATTAAAAGCTATCAAGACCCAATTCAAAGATTAAATCACTAGGTCATGTGCTTTCCCTACTGCCAGGCTGGAGCGTATACAACAGGGAATGGGGCTCATACTCCCCAGGAAAACTGATTTCCATCCCAAAATACTATACCCAACCAAGCACAAGAAAAAAAGAAAGGTATTTTGAGGAATGCAATATCTCAATTTACTGCCATTCACTCCTTCTCAGGAAGCTACCAGAGACTGTGCTCCACAAGACAAAGACACAGCCTCCAGGACCTGGGTATCCTGCAGCAAGCAGCCAAAGGAGTCCCATGAAGACAGTAAAGATGAACCCTGGGGCCACTCAGACAACAGAGGCAAGAGCAGCCTGGCCACAAAGGGTAGAGCTGGGGAACTCTAGGCTGCAGGACTCTGCTGAGGCAAGGGTCCACTAAGCCACCTGTCTATCACATGGATGACGTAGTAAGATGCATCTTGCAGATCTGCTGGATAAGAGGATGTAACAGCCAGTGAGTGTAAGTAAGTGGCAAACAGGCTATTATTAACTAGGAAAATGAAAATTTTTACAAAGGAATATACTCCTGCGTAACTAGCATGACTTGCATGTAATAATATACATGTGAGCAGGCATGATGGCATGCACCAGTAATCCTAGCAATTCCAGAAGCTGAGACAGGAGTGGTGCATATTGAACAGTGATATAATTACAGCGAAATGACAGAACAAAGGTTAAAGCTAGATTCATCTCTTCCACTGTAAAATGTCTAAAATACAGAAGTCTAAAAAGCATGTTATTTAGAAATATGAAACCTTAAGAGCTGTGTATGCCCATGAGACAAGGATTAGAAGAGGACTTTATAATGCTTTTAGTACTCCTGAAGTTTAATGATAATAAATCTGAATAAATATAAAAGGACAGAGAGGCAGAGAAATAAACTTTCTTAAATGTCAGAAGTCATGGAAGGAGATCTACTCTAAGAGGCTGAGGCAGGAAAATCACAAATTCAAGCCTAGCCTGAATAACTTAGGGACTTAGCAACACTATCTCAAAATTTTAAAGACAGCTGGGAATACAGCTCAGGGCAGAGGCTTGGGTTCAATCCTCAGTACCATAAGAAAAGGAAAAACCCACCATCTTTCACCAGATGCAGTGACATATGCCCATAATCTCAGCTACTCATGAGATTGAGACAAAGGATCACAAGTTCAAGGCCAGTTTGAGTAACTCAGAGTTACCCTGTCTCATAATAAAAAGGGCTATGATGTGCCTCAGTTGTAGAGCAAGCACCCTTATGTTTGATTCCCAGGACTCAAAGAAAAAAATTAGTACCTACCATCTGCCTGGTCTCCAGTCCCTGTCAGGAAGGTGTCACAGAAGCACTGTGCAGCAGGCACACCTCCTCCATTCTGCAGGGCAGGAGCAGCTGCCCCCAGGATCAAGGAGGGCAGAGCGAATATAAGAGTGGCAGTGAGCCCACCCCAATCACAAGGCTTTAGTTACTTCACTCAAATTTTTAGGGTCGTGATCTCCCTTCACCATCCCAAGCCCCATGAAACTGGATTTTTACTATAACCTTAGTATATTGAGAAAACTTTGAAGCTCAGAATAAAAAACTTAAGAAGCTAAATATCCAAGATCATACAGCTAAGGAGAGCACACCTGTGCTCCTCACTCTCAGAACAGCCCTCCATAGGAACCTTTCATGTCCCATTTTAAGAACAGGAAGGAACAAGATAGGAGCTACTGGGTGACTGACCCAAAGGGAAACAGCTAGCAAAGAGGGCTGACTACTAGTCTACGTCCACCTAGCTCCAAAGCGAAGGCTCTCACCACTACACTGACGGCCTCAGGAGCCCAGGCTAGAGCCACAAAAAAACAAAGAGGCCAAGAATCCTCCAACCTGCAGACTGTGTGACAGAGTCATGATTTCCAGACACCATACAAAACCCATTAAAACAACTTTGCAGTGGCCTACTGAGATGCTACTGAACTGCTTCATGGCCCCAAGGCTCCCATGAGCTCTCCTACTTGAGTTTCCCTCCTCAGCTACTTTACAGGCCAGTCTTATACGCCAAAGACAATCTGCTCCAGGACAATGCTGTCTGAATCTGACTCTCTAAGCCACCTTGCCACTGAGCTCTTCCCCAGTGACTAGAAGGTAAAGTGGAATGAAACGGCCTCACAGAGACATAGATGATAAGGTCTAAATTATTAAGCACAATACGATGCAAAAAGTACTCTCAGGTCACTGTGCAGCCAAGAGACTAATCCCACAAGACTCACTCACAGCATCAATTGCAGCTGTGGCCAGAGGCAGCAATCATACCTTAATTTCATTGTCATTTGCAAAATTGCCAAAAGAAGCCATAATTTTGGGAACAGCTGCAGCCAAGGTCTCCTGGACCGATTCCTCAGGTCTCTTGCTCGTTCGAGTTAGGCAGGGCAGAAGATTCACCAGGTAAGGCCTGTGTGCAAAAGAACACTAGTCATTTTGTAGGTTCTTTAGCAAGAATATAAGCAATGGCTCACTGAGAGGAAAAAGCCAGGTATAAAAGCATGATGGCCCTTAGAGCACACAGACATTGCTCAGCTAAAAGACCAGAAGGACTAGACACAGATGGTTCTCTACCTCTCTCAGTGACAAAAGACTCTTCAGCTGGACTCAAAATCTATTTGCAGTAAATCATAAGCGGTATTAAAATTCTTGTTTTTAATTGGAAATCATAAGAAAATTTGAGAAAATAGTACTTTAAAAAGTTTTAATGTAAATAAAAGGAGCATTATAAACCACAAAATTTATGTTCACACCAATCAAGGCCTTCAAGCTGCACACCAAGACTTCTAGGGAGGAAATAGACACATAGTGAATAAGCCCAGCCTCTGCTCTCAGAGACCAAGGCAGGCAGTACTCAAGGTCACTGACAGCACAGATAACTTCCTGAGGCAAAGTCAAGGCCAGCTGGGAATATGTTAGAAAGGGAGACCAAAGGCCTCTCAAAAGAGATTATTTTTTGGTGAGATTTGAGGGAAAATATGAGCCAGCACAGGAGGAATAGACACCCGACTTGTATCTGCAGTGACAAGGCCAGGGCACCTGGGTGAAGAGTCTTTACTGCATTTGAATGCTGTCAGGGGATGAATAAAAGATTCCCAGTAAGGGAATGTCAAGACAATTATGTAATATAAGGTCACTTCAGGTGTTTTGTGGTCAACTTGAGGGTCAGAAATATAACAAATTCTGAAAATAAGGATAGCTGGATTGGGAACATGTAATTGAGGCCCTGAATTCAACTCTCAACAAACATACATGCATAAATACAAAGGCTATAAAAGGAAAGAGTTTATAAAAAGAAATTTCCTTAATGGACATATACCTACAACCAAAGCATGTTCATTCAAACTCAACCTCAGTGGAATACACTGCCATTACACATGAATAGGGAGAAGTTAGGCCCCTCTATCTACAAGTTCCCCAGGGAGAGAACGGAGGGTCTCCAGGAAAAAGACACACTGGGCCAGTGTGAGAGAAGGAAGAAGCAAGTGAAAACTATAGGGCCAGGAATTTAGCTCAGTGGCATAAGTGCCTGCCTGGTAAGTGTGAGATCGTGAGTTCAATCCCTGGTACCAAAAAAAAAACAAACAAAACTACACTCCGCATTATTTTTTTTAATCCACCACAATCTGTTTCACTTAGTCAAAACTTTATGCACAGTTTAACACTCATCTTTTCAACCAATATAATAAACAAATGCCCATTTTTGACTCCTATAACTGGTGGTAATAAAGCTGCTGATTAGTTGGGGCTGCAGCACAGACCAAGATAGCAAGTCCCCTGCTGCTCTAGGGTCCACATTCCTTAAGTCTCTAGGGGGTAGGATTGGGCAAAAAGCAAATAAGCACACTAATGAAATACACAATAATACTCCTGCCAGGGCGAGCACTGGAAGGAACTATAAGCAGGCAATGTCAAATGCAAGTATGGAGGGGCAGAAATGGCTGACTTCAGGCAGGACAGGAAGACTGAGGAAGGGATAAGAGCTGAGATGGAAGGGATCACCACGAGTGGCCACCAAAACTACCAAGGGAAATGGCCCAGAGGGACAACTTACCTACACTTCTGAGGCCGAACCAGATGAGCTAGCTCAGCAAATCTCCACAGGGCAGCACGCAAACTGCGAGGGGCACCATTCTGAATGGGTTAAATCAGCAAAGTATCACCAAGAGGTTGCAAAGGAACAAAAGACTGTCTTACTGTTACCTTTTGCTTTTAGAGAAAAAGTCCATTAAATGTATGAAACATCTGGGAACTACTTCAGAGATTTTTAAAAATCCAATGAGCTTCAATGATAAAGTTACAAAAAAATTAAGCTGCCATTTGTAACTTCCATCTTCTCTAATGAAAAGTAACCTCTACACACAAAGTAAAACAATTACATCAGCATTACCAAGAAGCAGTTCCTTCGAAAAAGTTTTATTTTTTAACTAAAAGATACAGTTTCACACATACTGCTCATTGCTATGAAATGGAAAGTGAAGGCATACCTTCTTAATTTCCTTGTAGAGCTCTAACTGGAGCCTTGGAAGGTTGGAATCCATCAAAGCCTACAGGGAAGTACAAGAAATTTGTTTATGGGCGATATATTCCTCTCACAATCCTAAAGAAAACTATCGGGTTACCAAAACTTTAATTTGAGGCAAACTAAAACAAAATTACACTATGTTAGAAAGTTGTTCATTAAGAGAAAAGCAAATGTAGGGGCTGAGGATTTAGCTCAGTGGCATAAGCACCTGCCTTGCAAGCAGGCGGTCATGAGTTCGATCTCCGATACCAATAAAAATGAAAAAGACAAAAAAAAAAAAAAAAAAAAGAGAAAAGCAAATGTATGCAGACGTCACTGAACACATTAGATACAGATTGCTCACCATACAAAAAACAGTGAAGAGCAAAGAGTTTAACTTTCACGGTAAATGCTACATAAAATCTAAAAAAAAGAATAATTCTAGAGGGGGCTAGGGATTTAGCTCAGCGGCATAAGCGCCTGCCTTGCAAGCAGGCAGCCGTGAGTTCGATCCCTGGTACCAATAAAAAAGAAAAAGACCAAAAAAAAAAAAAAGAATAATTCTAGAGTTCTCACAGGAAACCTCCTATCTTCACTAAGGGTCCACAGCTGACTCCAGCTGAGGTGACCCCTGAGAAGACTAAAGTCGGGAGACTGAGGATGCTCCCAGCCTGGATCGTGATCCTAATTCCCAACCACAAAGCCTGATGACTGCAGCACGAGGAGGCAGAAATCTGAGCACTCCATACATTCTTACACCAACTGTAAGTGGAAGAGAAAGAAAAAGAGAGATTATCTTATGTTCATGAATGTACTATGAGAAGTTAGCATTTCTGTACCTGGAGACTGAAAACAGACGAGGAAATAGCAAAGAAGCAGGGACCTGGGCAGCAAAAAAAAAAAAAAAAACTAGGACCACAGTTGCAACCTACAGCCGTGTATGTCTCCAACCAGGAACCAGGCCACTAACCAGCAATTCCAGCAGACTCTGGGGAAAGCAGGCTTCAAATACAAAAATCAGTATCAGAGAGTCTATGGTCTTGCTGCTCTCTCTGTCCCTCCTGACCTCTCACTTGCCATGCTTAAGGTAATCCATGATTACCTCTGCATCAGGCTGGGCAGGCAGTTCAGCGGAAAAGTGTATGCTTAGCATGCTTGCGGCCTTCGGTCTGATCCTCAGAACAACAATAACAGCAAAAGAATTTCAAGACAACTGAAATACATCAAAGAAAACCCAGACTAGTCTTTCCAGTGCAAATAATAAAAACAAGCAAGAGCATCCGGAACTAGAGAAGCAAGTGGAATTGAAACAAGCCATCTGCAAACATGCTGTGGGGTAACACTGGGTATGGGTCACCAGTGCCCCTGGCACAAAAAGCAGGTGACACAGACTCTGCCATCAAGCTACCGTAGAAGGCAGCAGGCAAGTACGGGCCCAAAGTTCAGGTGTGGAGAAGGTAAGATGACTTCTCTGGAGAGAACAGAGGGAGTGGGAACTGCAGCTACAGAGAAGCCCTGAACACAGCAAGCATTGTGGCCCAGATGCCATCTGTCAGGCAGGCAGGAAAGATGCCCTGGGCAACAGAGCTCCTTGGACACACGTAACAGAAAATGGAAAGCAGCTGTTGCACAGTCACACTACCCCCTCTGCCTCACTGAGCCAGACTGTAAGAACTAGATTACTAAAAAGACTATTTCTTACCACTTTGAGGACCCAGGATGTGGCAATGCACACACAACAAAAATTGGTCTCATTTCACAGTAAAGGAAACTGAGTCTCACACAAATTAAGTTCATTTCCAAAGCTGTTCAGCTGACAAGTACAGAGGGAAGATTCTCTACTCATCTGCCTATCAATGATTTTTGCAACCTTTAACTGTCATTGTCAACTTGACTGGATTAAGAAACATTCCTAGGTATGTGGTTAGGCCAGGCAGGTGTAACCTTGGGGCCCTTCCCTCTCTGGCTCTTTGCAGCAATTGTGAACTGAACAGCTTTGTTCCACCACACCCTTCTACCAGGATGTTCTGCCTGGGTACCAGCTCACTATGCACTGAACCCTCTGAAATTGTGAACCACAATGTATTTTTTCCTCTTTTAAGTTATATACCAGGTACTTTGTCCAGCAATGAAGTGCTGACTAATACAATTCTTCCTTAGTCATAGGAGCAACAGGGTGATTACATTCCTAAGGAGGTTGGGCCCATGAAGGAAGGGGAGGTTTACTGCTTGGCCTAAGATCTGACACTCTACAAAGCAAGGCTTTGGTAAGAGACTAGAGGAGATAGTTCTGTCCTATGGAAAATGCAGATGGGAAACAGCCAACCTAACAACAGATGGAATTTTTGGTTCACCCACGCAAGTGAGTATAACTAGAAAAACAGCCTTCAAGGAAAAGGATGAGATGGTGCCTATTCTCTAAGTCTTACTTAAATTTCAGAGCTGGGACCTGATGTACTGTAATCAGGGAAAAAGAAGAAAAACTTGGAAGTCCAATAAACAAGGAGCCCTCAAAGAGGTGAACAAGAAACACATTATTCTTTAACTATCATCAAGAAATAGATTTTGGAGAAAGTGCCAAAAACTCTGCCACAGAGTCTTAATCAGTGCCAGTTAGCCTGCAAAAGGAACAATACTTAAACCCTGGGTTCAATTCAAAAGGCGAATTCACAAACACAAGGTGCAATCGCATCAGACAGCCCAGGCAAGAACTCACACAAGAACAGTTCTGCAATATGTTAAGAATCAGTGCATGGAAAGATTGATATATCCTGCACAACTGTCCCTAGAAATTGATGGAAAAACAAGGTGCTTCCAGGATAAAGAGGAACTAGGGGAATTTGCAACCACCAATTCAACTCTACAGAGAATACTGCAGGATATTCTAAAAAAGGAAAATACCAAGATTCCAGAAACAGTGGCAGAGAGGCCACACCAAATGGAGCAGAAAGCGAAATGAAGAAGACAAACTGACAACAAACAACAGGAAAAGAGCTCAACAGAAATGAGGCAGAGAAGATTGGATGATAGGAAACAAGACATCATAATAGCTAGTGCTGATTTAGTATCATCTTGCTTTGAAGTCCCATCAAGCTTTTATTCTTCTGTCTCCATCGGTCTTAACAGTTGTATCTTATTGGATTTTATTATATGTGATAATATAAGTAAAATCTTTTATAGACAAGGAGATTATACAGAAACCATTGTTCATTTTCTGATAGTTGGTTCTAAATACCCTGTAATACTGTCATTCCCTTGAATGGTTTTACATTGTCTTGATATGTTTGGTGCTATAGTACACGAAGTTATACTCAAAGATTTCAAGGAAAGAAACACTATGGTAACTACTTTTATGTTAGGTTATCTTGTGGTGAAACACTATTTTGCTTAAATGGTTATGCTTTGACCTGCGCTGTTTTGTTGTTATGCCCTCTTTTATCTCAATCTCCTTTTTCTTATTTACTTTTTTATCTTTTTAATTAAGGGAAAAATAAAAAAAGCAGGATACATTATAGTAACCCACTTTGATTTCCTATTAACTTGATTTGAAACCCTGTATAGCCCTCACCATCTTGCTTTGACTGATTTTCCTCTATTCTGCTTTGCTTGATAGTACCAAGTTCGAAAGTATAGGCAACAACTGTAAAGACGATAAGATTCATTATGACAGCCATCCTGGTTGACTATTATCTTCTTTTAAAGTCCTGTAATGTCTCCAATGTTTTGGTTTTATTCTTTATTGTTTTGTTCAATTTTATTATAACTGATGATACAGGCAATTCTTTTTAAGATAGCAAGAGGCAGTATGGTAACCATTGTTGATCACCTAGTTTTTTGTTTTTACATTATCTATTATGTCCATCCTTTTGATTTGATTGACTCTGTTCTGTTACGGCATATTTGGTTTTACTGTCTTCAAAAAAAAGTAATAAGAACTGTGGGAGTAATAAAACCCAAAATGTGTAATTGTCATTGTACAAAAGAAAAGAAAGTGCTCTAAAGAATATAACTGCATATATATTTAAGTGTATAAGATAAATAACCGTACTACTGAGTTTTGCTGGATCACTGAACAAAACTGTTTCCTGTCTCACTGTTTGAAAGTCCACTTTATATGCTTTAATTTTGTAACTTGAACAACTATTTCTAAGATAACAATATGTAATCTATTAACTAGTGATTTCCTACTGTTTATGTTTTCTGAAATTCTCTATAACTTGTACCCTTTTTTTGTTTTTTTTTTTCTCCTTAAATTAAAAAAAAAAAAAGAATCAGTGCATGGAAGGAGGGACTTTAATCTTCCACAGCAGCAGAAAACAGGAAAAAGGAACAGCAAATTAGAAATGTGGTGACACAAGCAGACTGAAGAGACACAAGGACAAAAGAAACCCAGTGCTATGCCCTCTCTCAGCAACGGTGCTGTCCTGTGTTTGCCACCCTATGCTGGGCTCTCCTTTCTCCTACTCATGTCACCACACTTGCAGCTAATCCAGTAACTTGAGATGCCACATCTTTACCAGCAAGCAGTGCTGCCTGACCCCTCTCAGGAGGGACAGGGGAAGGGGACATAGGAGGGCACCCTCGAGAGACACCAAAGCCAGACTTCATTCCCAAACTGCTGCTTTCCTGGGGCTCTGCGGCTCTGCAGGCTACGCCCACCAAAACACTTTTTCCTGAGAGCAGCCAGGGGCCGCCACCAAGGTCCTCTGACCCTCACATCCCAGGCACTGGGGCAACAGCTCCTTTCCACTGACTGGTATTTGGGTACAGGCCCAAGACAGAAGGCTGCAGGCAGCCTCCGGTCACGCCACTCCAGACGTGTGAGAATGTTGGCGGAGGCAGCTCCACCCCACTACAATGATGACAGCGTCCACAGGGTTCTTACTTTGATAACTTTGTTCAGGCATTCATCAGCCACCATTCTGACATCTGACTCCGCATCATCACTGCACAGCAGGAAAAGTTCCATGGCGATGCCCAGGAGTTTCTGAAATTCTGGAGAATTTCTAAGTAAAGAAAGAAGAGAAACTGTCACTAACAACAGGAGCCTAAGGAGACGCAACAAGAAACTATAATGAGGTATATGGTATCCTGGATGAGATTCTGAAACAAAAAGGGACATGTTAAAAATTAAGAAAATCAGGGCTGGGGATTTAGCTCAGCGGCATAAGCACCTGCCTTGCAAGCAGGCGGTCGTGAGTTCGATCCCTGGTACCAATTAAAAAAAAAAAAAAAAATTAAGAAAATCTAACCAGTTGTGGTGGTACACATGTGTAATTCCAGCACTCAGGAGGCTGAGGTGGAAGGCTGAGCCAGGAGGAATGCCACGAATTCGAGACCAGCCTACGGCACATAGTTCAAGCCCAGTTTTGAGACTGTGTCTTGAAAAAAAGTGCATAAAGCTTGTTAATATTAATTTGTTAACTGTGAAAACTGAGCTACAATAATTTAAGATGCTAATTAATAGGAGTAACTGGAAGTGGGGTATATGCCAACTTTTTATAGTGCCAGAAGTTTTCTATGGATCTATAACTTACTAAAATAAGAAATAAAGAAGAGATTATAGAAAAAAACAGAAATTGTACCTGCAAGGCAAATTTCATTTTTTAAACTTTTAATTAAAAAACTTTTTTTTTTTTGGTACCAGGGATTGAACTTAATTTAAAAACTTTTAAAACACATTGCTTCAGAGACTTAAATCCCAGGAAGCTCTCTGAAAAGGTTACTTTTACTTCAGAGCCTTGAAGACACTTCTGCTCCTGTACTCCTTTCTATCTGTACTGTCAACATGATCCAAAGTGTAGTACTTCACTGCTGACACCACCTCTTCAGGGTCAGACTTTGTGTTACACTATATGGAAAATCTGGAGCCGAGCACTTTCTATAAACTGTTTTAAAAACCTGACAGTGCCTGTTTGGGCTGTCACAACCTAAACAGCTAAATCCAGCACCAGAGAGGGAGACCGAAGGGCTGAGCACATTAAACCAGTAACTCAAGGAACACTCCAGAAGCAAACCCAATAACACAGATGTATGATTACTAAAAAGGCATAGCCGGACTCCTGTCTCAAGATGTCAATCTAAAGTATCCTGAAATTGAATCCCCATCCCCTTTGCTTCCAGGTGGTAATTCCCACATAGTCAGAAGATAGCCAGGCACTTTTAAAGCAAAGGACCATATCAGTAATGGTCAACGAAGATACAAAAGCAAGAAGCAAGACAGGCACTTAGCAACATTTCCAACGTCATCTCTGAGGAATATAGATGTGGGCAAAGAGCTAGGGAGGGAAGGTCTCTGACCTACCAGAGCAGCGTTTAGACAGCAGTGCTGCCACGGAGGGCTACAGGGAGCTACAAGGGCTGCTTCAAGTGGTATGATTTAGTATTTCATTTTACCTAATACATCCAAAAATTATTTCACCATGCAGTCAATATAAAGAAACTTCCAAGATATACAGCAACACTTTTTTATAGCACACCTCAACTTAAGACATTGAATTTTCTTCAGAAACACAGGCGTTGAACTGGTTGACATAGCAGTTTCTAACATTCCCACAGTCCTCCCAGGACAGAAGCCACTGTCATCACTCTTGTGACTGGTAGTTTGTGGCCTCATTGTTTCTGCTAAATTAGTCTTATCAATTCACTGACATTCTCAAAAAAACCAACTTCTACTTACTGGCTATAGCTTTTTCTGGTCTACTCTTTTACTAACTTCTGTGCTTATTTTTGATTACATGCATTCTTTTGACAGTTCTCAATTCTACACACTCATCTTTCTGAAGTTTCCACAGTAGAAGCTGGGTTTACTAGGATCATTTTGTTCTAACATATTTGATGCTTTAAATTTTTCTTTAAAGTATGACAGCACACCCCAGTATATAACTGTATTGCCTTTAATAAATTACTTTCTGACTTCCCATCTGACTTCTTTGACTCAGATGGGAACGTGATGCTCTCCACACATTTGGGCTATTTCTCTGTAATAATGACCCAGAGACACAGAACGTGCTGTGTGTGGTCTGCACCCTTTCACAGTTGACTTGTGTGATGGCCTGGCATCTGGTCTACACTGACAAGACATTCTGTAAAAATGTGAGGCATGCTCATGAAGTATCCCATGTCCATCCATCAGATCACCATGATGAATAGTTGTTCAAGTCTTCTAGATCCAAATTTTAGGCCTATGTGTTCTATGAATTAAACAAATTAAAGAAAGTAGCTGAAATACTTGGCTTTAACTTCCTTCCTGCAGTTCCGTCTGCTCTTCCTTCATGTTTTATTAAATATCAGTGTGTGTTTGCATGTACACTCATCATGGGGAACTAGTACATGTACATTTCTCCACATATTTGTGAAGCCCTGCAGTTGACACATAAACATGATTATTATGCCCACCTGAAAACTGACCCTCTTCATTAGGAAACAGCCATTCTGTCTTTGTTAGCACCCTTAGCTATGAGACCCACTTTCTCTGGGATCACTACAGCCACTCCAGCTTCCATGTGGTAGCTACTTTCCATTCTTTTACTTTCAGCTTATTTGTGCATTTCTACTCAAAATGAGCTTCATGTGGGGTATATACACTGACTGGGCCTGACAATTAAATCTGAAAGGTCTTCAGCTTCCGCATTTAATGTCACATTCCTACTGTAAATCGGCTGAGATCTACAACTGGACCATTGCCTTCCCATTTACCCTCTATTTCCTCTTTCCCTGCTTCTGACTTATTTTGGATTATCTTTATGATTCCATCCCACTTCCTTTTTTTGGTTTATAGGCAATAATTCTTCGTTACTTTATTGTTCATAGTATGTAACTATCACACTGTACTTGAGTAAATATTATACTGCTTCACCAATAAGAAACAACAGTTTCTTACGGCTACTCTTAACAAGCTACTGCAAATTGAGTTTGTTTATAAAACTGAGTGGCTTACAATAAGAATGTATTCTTTTTTTTTTTATCTTTTTTGTTTTTGTTTTTATCAGTACCAGGGATCGAACTCACGAATGCCTGCTTGCAAGGCAGGCGCTTATGCCGTTGAGCTAAACCCCCAGCAATAAGAATGTATTCTTTCACAGTTCTGGAGGCCAGAGTGCAAAATCAGTACCCTTGAGCTGAAATGAAGGTGCAGCAAGGGCTGCATGCCCCCCATAGGCTCCCCGAAGTATCGCTGCTTGCCCCTCCTGCTTTGGCAGCTGCCCACATTCTATGGCTTGGAGTGTTCACTCTTAACTCCAGGAAGCACCTTCAAACCTCTCCGGACTCCAGTTTCTCACAAGCTCTGCATAGGTCTCCTTTTTATAAGGAGATATGTGACCTTATCTAGAGCCCACCAAGGATAATCTCTATATTCCTAAATCCACAATTTAATCATACCAGCAACTCCCCTTTCCTTAAAAGGTAACATTTACAGGTTCCAGGGATCAGGACTTGTTATCATTTTCTGTGGGGGTAGAGAGGAATTCTTCTATCTAAGTATACTTCCATTTTTGTTCATCATACTTTTTACTTACACATTATAAACTCCACAATGTGTTTTGATTTTAAACAAACTGATTTTTTTTTTTTTGAGCCAAGAATCAAACTCAGAATTTCATGCTTGCCGGCAGGTATCATGCTGCTGAGCTATACACCCCAGGACCAACAAACTGATCTTTTAAAACCTAAATTAAGTCCTTGAAAATGTAGCCTCTTTAAAGAAATTAAAATTAAAGGACAAGAGCTTATGTAGAACATATATTACAGTACAGTCACCATTTCACCACTCTTCAACCTTCATGTAGACACAAATCTCCAACTGGAATTAGTTTTCTTCTACCTGAAACACTTTTTAAAATATTTTTAGATAATGGTTACCTGTCATGCAGAGCAGTTCTACTTCTGTACACCTAGGAGTCTACTTCACTGCTGAGTTCTGGAGTTTTCCGGGTCTCCCTCTCCCTCGCCTCCACAAGGCAGTTCCCTAACTCCTGGCAGGTGGGGGTCCAGAGAGATCTGCTGTCATTTGTACCTTAGTCCAGTACCTGCTTCTCGTGTCTTGTCACTATTTCACATATTTATTCTTTTCACTAGCTTCCAGAATTTCCCCCAAAGTATTCAGTGGGGGAAATGTTATCTGTATCTCAAATTCATACACAGATACACACACACACTTAACATTCCAATCCATATACATTTTAATGTCACACAACCAAGTCTCACCATATTGCCAGTGATTTCAAGGTTTTCTCTGTAATATTTATTTATTCTAGCAAATGAACAAGCTCAGAAATACTATTGGATCTAGGGTGCTGGGGATTTAGCTCAGGGGCATAAGCGCATTCCTTGCAAGTGTGCGGTCATGAGTTCGATCCCTGGTACTGATAAAAACGAAAAAGACAAAAAAAAAAAGAAAGAAAGAAAGAAAGAAAGAAAGACTACTGGATCTTTAATTAAGATGACTTTTAAACTAAAGATTTAGAAAAAATTCAACTTTCTGATAGAAAACCTTTCTATCTGGGGAAGATAGTAGTTGTCTAGTAACTTTCGGGAACACTAGCAGCAGTCTGTACATTATTTCCTGCCGATTCTTTGCATTTTTATTACTACAAATTAATCTATTTTCAAACTCATATGTACTAATACATGAGAAATCTATGGTTTAATATTTATTTTTACTGAGGCAACTTGCTGTCGTATACTATAACAGGTTGCTCAGATAAAAGTCCCTAGGCAGTTGCAAGAGGGTATCACTGAAAGTAAAAGCCAAGCCCCCACCTTCAAATAGAAAGTGTAAGAGTTTGGGAAAGACAGCAACGAGGCATCTTTACTGTTATATTCTTTGTAGTTTTCCAGTTGACTCTGATGCTCATCCATATCTAGGACCCCATAGACCATCAAACTGAGAGCTGAAGCAGACTGCAGAGTCACAGTATCTATGAAGTTTCAGATGTATGTCATGTTCTGCATTCTGGGTATTAGCCATCAAGACTGAGATGAGACAGAATCTCAGCGTAGTTCT